AAATTAAACGAAATAAACATTTGAAATATATGAGTTTGTATGCAATGTATGAATATAATATACAAGTTTCACTTTTTAAATGGAATTACTGAAAAAAATCTACTTTTTCATGATATTCTAATTTTATGACCAGCACCTGTAGGCTATTACATCATTAAACATTTAATCAGTATTGTTGCACCCCTAGTTGACAAAGACCCCAATACCCTCTGAAATAGGAAGTGATTTGCATGTGAGTTTACTTTGCATAATTTTTTAAGCTTATGACTCCACACTTTTCAGTTAGAATGAAGTGATCTTAAACAAGAAGCGACATGTCTTCAAAAAATAAACAAAAAAAAGTCAAATTTCCTGTTATTATTAAAGTAAGTGCCCATCATGGTTTTCTGATAACAGACTAAAAATATTCTCAACTAGAAACAAGAGGAGAACCCTCACCGGGTCAGGAGGGAGCTTTTGCCTCTGGTGGAGGTGTTCAAGTTTTTGAAAATGAGATCTCGATCTCAGTGGGATTTTAAATCTGGTTAAATAAAGCAAATGAAAGTGAATGAATTTGGACATCTGGTTCAAGTGATGGTAGGAGGGAGCAGAAGTTGGATTGATGGAGACTTTGTCCTCAGTAATGACAGTTGTTGTTTTGGTCAGTTGTGATGAAGAAAGAGTTGAGTCAACAGGCAAAGCTCTCGATTTATTTGTCTTTCTATGTTAAACCCTCGCCTGTGGTCATGAGGTTCAGATTGTGAACAAAAGAACAACATATCAATACAAACAGCTGAAATGAGCTTCCTCCGTAGGGTGGCCAGGCTCAGCCTTAGAGAGAGGGTGAGGAGCTCTATCATCTGGGGGGAGGTTGGAGTAGAACCGCTGCTCCACCACATCGAAAGCAGTCTACTGAGTTGCGTCTAATTGGGATGTCTCCTGGACACATCCCTTTGGAGATCATGCAAACTCCACACAGAAAGATCCCAGGGGTCAGTTTTATAAAGGATTGCGTGGAAACCATACTTAAAATGAACGTATGGCCAAAAGGCAAAAATGGCATACGCCAAAAAAAATTAGATTTATAAAACCGTGTGTACGCATGTTTCTGCGCACCTTTCATTTATAAATCACAGCCGCACGTCAGAGTTTGCGCACGAGGTCCCGCCTCAGGTTCTACCCTCTACACGCCCACACTCAACCATAAACAGTCAATGCAAAGTACCTCATAAATGTTAAGGTGTATTTAAATCAGTCAGCTGATCAATGTCAAAAGAAGTGATTGGCCGGTTCAGACTCGCGCTCAGTCGTGCGTCTGGAGGATGACAGGTGCTGACTGATAACTGCTCACGTGAACAGAATGTCAGTAGTTGACAGATTTTCTCTGATTTTGCAGGTTTACAGATGTTTAGAGCAGAGATTCTTAATTGGGCCACGAGTGCCACCTTCAGGGCCTCAAAAGAACAACAGTTTTTAACTTTGGGCCACAGAGGGCCGTGGGACCGCATTGATTTTGAATAAGGTGCAATACACTTTCTCACCATTAGTGGTGGTAGTGCACCACTCAGATGTTTAACAACCTTTTTTTAAATATGTAGAAGAAGAATCTTAGAAACTTGCCGAGAATGGAAACCTATTTTAAATTAAAAGTAGAAGCAAAAATGAAAGTAACCCATCAAAAAAGGCCAAAGTTTATCACTAATATGAAGTGCAGCTTCTGTTTTTACCATGCAATATTTTAAAAGTTCAAAACATTATCAAATACAGTTGCAGATACAGCTATATTTTAATTTGCACTTTAAATTAATTTTTGTAGTTTTGTTTTTAAACAATTTGAATGTATTTTTAAAGAAATTTTAAACTTGTCAAAAAAGCTGTTGTTACTGTTATTGTTTGTCACTAATATGAAGAGCAGCTTCTGTTTTTACTATGCAATATTTTAAAAGTTCAAATCATTATCAAATACAGTTGCAGATACAGCTATATTTTAATTTGCACTTTAAATTAATTTTTGTAGTTTTGTTTTTAAACAATTTGAATGTATTTTAAAGAAAT